GCTTTGGCTTCTTTCTCATTTTCTCCTGCCACCACCACGTAAGAACTGCCTTTCACCTCATGCCATGATTCTGCCTCCCCAGCCACACGGAACTGTAAGTCTAATTAAACCTCTTTTCGTTCCCAGTTTTGGATATGTCCTTATCAGCAGCGTGAAAATGGATGAATACAGTAGATTGGTACCAGGAGTGAGGTGTTGCTGAAAAGATACCCAAAAATGTGGAGGTGACTTTGAAACTGGGTATCTGGTGGAGGAAATTTCTAAGCAGCAAAGTATTTAAGAGGTAATTTGCGATAGAAAGAAAAGCCCGTTTTCTGGGGAGAAATTCAAGCCAGGTGCAGAAATTTTCGTAAGTAACAAGGAGCCTAATGTTAATCCCCAAGACCGTAGAAAAAACGTCTCCAGGCCATGTTAGAGAACTTCCTAGCAGCCCCTTCCATCACAGGCCCAGAGGCCCAGGAGGGAAAAATGGTTTCATGGGCTGGGCCCAGGGTCCATCTGCTGTGTGCAGCCTAGGGGCTTGGTGCCGTGTCCCAGCTGCTCCAGCCATGGCTGAAAGGGGCCAATGTAGAGCTCAGGCTGTGGCTTCAATGGTTGGAAGCCCCAAGCCTTGGCAGCCTCTACATGGTGTTGAGCCTGCAGGTGCACAGAAGTCAAGAATTCGGGTTTGGGAACCTCTGCCTAGATTTCAGAAGCTGTATGGAAATGCCTAGGTGCCCAGGCAAAAGTTTGCTGCAGGGGCAGGGCCCTCATGGAGACCCTAGGTTAGGGTGGTGTAGAAGGGAAATGCGGGGTTCAGAGCCCACACAGAGTCTCTACTCGGGCACTGCCTAGTGGAGCTGTGAGAAGAGGGCCACTGTCCTCCAGACCCCAGAACAGCAGATCCACTGACAGCTTGCATCGTGCACCTGGAAAAGCCGCAGACACTGCCAGTCCATGAAAACAGCCAGGAGGGAGGCTGTACCCTGCAAAGCCACAGGGGTGGAGCTGCCCAAGGCCATGGGAACCCATCTCTTGCATCAGCATGACCTGGATGTGAGACCTAGAGTCAAAGGAGATCATTTTGGAGCTTTAATTTGACTGCCCCCCTGGATTGCAGACTTGCACGGGCCCTGTAACCCCTTTTGTTTTGGCCAATTTCTCCCAGTTTGAACAGCTGCATTTACCCAATACCCCGTATCCCCATCGTATCTAGGAAGTAACTAGCTTGATTTTGATTCTGCGGGTGGAATGGACGTGCCTTGTCTCAGATGAGACCTTGGACTGTGGACTTTTGGGTTAATGCTGAAATGACTTAAGACTTTGGGGGACTGTTGAGAAGGCACGATTGGTTTTGAAATATGAGGACACGAGATTTGGAAGGATCAGGTGCAGAATGATACGATTTGGCTGTGTCCCCACTGAAATCTCAACTTGAATTATATCTCCCAGAATTCCCATGTGTTGTGGGAGGGACCCAGGGCGAGGTCATTGAATCATGGGAACTGGTATTTCCTATGCTATTCCTGTGACAGTCGGTAAGTCTCACGAGATCTGATGGGTTTATCAGGGGTTTCCACCTTTGTTTCTTCCTAATTTTCTCTTGCCACTGCCATGTAAGAAGTGCCTTTCACCTCCCACCATGATTCTGAGGCCTCCCCAGCCACGTGGAACTGTAAATGCAATTAAACATTGTTTTGTTCCCAGTTTCAGGTATGTCTTTATCAGTGGTGTGAAAATGGACTAATACATATATCCATGAAATATATATCTATAATTAACCACGTCTCTCCACCACCACTGGTCCACTCTAAGCCACCATCATCGCCTGCTTGGACTACTGCTGTAGTGTCCTCCCTGGTCTCCTGGCTTTTACTCTCATTCCCTGCAGTCCATTCTCCCATAGCAGTCAGGGACCATGTTAAATCTAACACAGACCATGTCCCTACTCTGCTCAAAACCCGCCCATGGCTCCCCATTCTCTTAGAGTAAAAGCAAAATCTCTCCCATGGTCCATAAGCCCCTAGGTCACCTGGCTTTGCAAATAATCTGTACCTTTTTTTTTTTTTTTTTGAGATGGAGTCATGCTTTGTTGCCCAGGCTGGAGTGCAATGGTGCGATCTCAGCTCACTGCAACCTCCGCCTCCTGGGTTCAAGTGATTCTCCTGCCTCAGCCTCCTGAGTAGCTGGGATTACAGGCACATGTCACCATGCCCGGCTAATTTTGTATTTTTTTTTTTTTTTTTTTTGAGACGGAGTTTCGCTCTTGTTGCCCAGGCTGGAGTGCAATGGTGCGATCTCAGCTCACCGCAACCTCTGCCTCCTGGGTTCAGGCAATTCTCCTGGCTTAGCCTCCTTAGTAGCTGGGATTACAGGCATGAGCCACCATGCCCAGCTATTTTTTTTTATTTTTAGTAGAGACGGGGTTTCACCATGTTGACCAGGATGGTCTCGATCTCTTGACCTCGTGATCCACCTGCCTCGGCCTCCCAAAGTGCTGGGATTACAGGCTTGAGCCACCGCGCCCGGCCTAATTTTTTTTGTTTTTAGTAGAAACGGGGTTTCACCATGTTGACCAGGATGGTCTTGATCTCTTGACCTCGTGATCTACCCGCCTCGGCCTCCCAAAGTGCTGGGATTACAGGCGTGAGCCACCTCACCTGGCCCTAATTTTGTATTTTTAGAAGAGACGGGGTTTTGCCATGTTGGTCAGGCTGGTCTTGAACTCCCGACCTCAGGTGATCCGCCCAGCTCGGCCTCCCAAAGTGCTGGGATTATAGGTGTGAGCCACCGCGCCAGACTATTTTTTTTTAACCAGAAATTCCTGAGAGTATACCAAGTTTTATATATATATATGTATATATATTTGAATTACAGCCTTGTTCTGTCACCCAGGCTGAAGTACAGTGGTGCAATCTTGGCTTGCTGCAACCTCTGCCTTCTGGGTTCAAGTGACTCTCTTGCCTCAACCTCCTAAGCAACTGGGATTACAGGTGTGCGCCACCATGCCTGGCTAATTTTTTTTTTTTTTTTTTTTTTTTTTTTTGTACTTTTAATAGAGACAAGGTTTTACCATGTTGGCCAGGCTGGTCTTGAACTCCTGATCTCAAGTGATCCACCCACCTCGGCCTCCCAAAGTGCTGGGATTACAGGCATGAGCCACCGCACCCGGCCAGCTGACCTATTTTCCTACTATTCTTCCCCTTGCTTTCTTGGCTCAACTGGTCTCATTGTTCTTCAAACATGTCCAGGATGGCCCCATTTCAGGGCTTTTGCATTTGCTGTTCTCTCTGCCTGGGACAGCCTTCCCCCAGGTAGCCACATGGCTCCCTCCCTCATCCCTCCAGGTCTTTTGCACCTGTCTAAAAGCTGCACTTCCAGCCTGGGCAACACAGCAAGGCCCCCCAGCTCTACAAAAAATTTAAAAAATATTAGTCAGATGTGGTGATGTACACCTGTAGTCCCAGCTACTTGGGAGGCTGAGGGGGGAGGATAGCTTGAACCAGGAAGTCAAGGTTACAATGAGCTGTGATTGTGCCACTGCACTCCAAACTGGGTGACAAAAAAAAAAAAAAAAAAAAAAGTAAAAAAGAAAAAAGAAAGCTGCACTACCAGGCTTTCTGCCCCGTTGCCTTGGTGTATAGACCTAGCATGAATCACTTCCTGAACTCATTTGCTGTTGTCTTGATTCCTGGCTGCACCTACTTACCTGGTTCAGGAACAGTGCCTGGCAAACAGTAGGCACTTAGTAAGATGCTGTACAATGGAGAGCTGACCCTGGTCTCACACAGTAGGCATTTAGTAAGATGCTGTACAATGGAGAGCTGACCCTGGTCTCACACAGTAGGCATTTAGTAAGATGCTGTACAATGGAGAGCTGACCCTGGTCTGTCCTGTTCTTCCTGCCCTCAGGCCAGGACTGGACCGTGATTAGGAGGTGGTGGGTGGTGGAGAAGAGGCAGCAGGAACAGGAAGTAAGGAAGGGTTCAAGGAGGTGAAACTGTGTTATTTTGGGCAGAGCAAAACCAACAGCAATTCCTTTCTTGAGAGCTTACTACTTTTTTTTTTTTTTTTTTCCTTTGAGACAGAGTTTTGCTCTTGTTACGCAGGCTGGAGTGCAATGGCTCGATCTCGGCTCACCGCAACCTCCGCCTCCTGGGTTCAGGCAATTCTCCTGCCTCAGCCTCCTGAGTAGCTGGGAATACAGGCACGCACCACCATGCCCAGCTAATTTTTTGTGTTTTTGGTAGAGACGGGGTTTCACCATATTGAACAGGATGGTCTCGATCTCTTGACTTCGTGATCCACCCGCCTCGGCCTCCCAAAGTGTTGGGATTACAGGCTTGAGCCACCGAGCCCGGCGAGAGTTTACTATTGTGCCGTGCATGTTACATATTATGATCGTCTTTATTTTCCAGATGAGGAAACGGAGACCTAAAGAAGTGAAATGATTTCTCTAAGGTCACACAGTGTCCAGTGGGCTAGTGCAACTCGAACTCAAGTCTAATTCCAGAACTTTCTCTCTTCACCTGGGGCCAGGGGACGCTCGAGGCACCCTGTTCCTATGGAAGAGTGCTGTATGGAAATGCCCTGGATTCAGCTGCTTTCCGCCAAGCACACATTTTTCAGGAGTTAGAAATATTTTTCTAATTTAACTGGGCGTTAAATTTGCTAAACCTGTCAACCCAGGTTTAGCAAATATTTTTATTATTTGTAGAGATGGGGGTCTGCCTACGTGTTGAACTGGTCTTGAACTCCTGGGCTCAAGCGACCCTCCTGCTTCGTTCTAAGGCGGAGCTCAGACTCAAGCCTAGGACTTCAGCAAATGGCCCGCCCAGGACCCCCGAATGCTCTTTCCAGGCGAATCCACGACCTGGGCCGGTCCTTACCTTTGGAATCTCAAAGAGCTTCTGGGTTCGGGCACCGGGGAGCCGCGAGCCAGGCGCGGACCCTTTAAGAGCGATTTCGAGGGCGGGCTCACGGGGGCGTGGCGAATCCGGGGGCGTGCTGGGTGGGGGCAGGCCAATCGGGAGGCGGGAAGAACGCGCGGCCCTGGCAGCCTGGGAAGGGTTAAAGGGGCGCGCCAGTGGGTCGCGGACTGGCCGGTCGCTCCCGCCTCCTTCCGTCGGATCCGCACTCTCCCGCGGCTGCGCCGGCCCGGCCCGGGAGACAAAGCGCTGCCGCCGCCGTCGCCGCCACTGGGCCAGTCCCGGACCATGGACGGGCCATCCCCCGGCCTCGCGCCTCCCGTCCCGTCGCCGCCCTAGGCCTGCGCTGCGAGGTAAGGCGGGCCTGGCCGGGGGACCTGCACGGGGATGCGGGACCCGGGTCGGGCCGCCCTGGGCCTCGGGTTGCCCCGGCCACCTGGAGAGCCCGCTGCGGGGATCTAGCCCGCTGGGACTCCGCACCTGCGGTCACTTTTCCGGCAGCCTTGGCGGACTTGGCCGATGACTACCCTCCCCGCCCCCAGCCCATAGGGACGTCTGCCGCTGAGGGGGACTGCGGCTCAGCCCCGCATTCTGCCGCTGACCACCCATTTGGGGCTCGGGCTGTCCTTTAACGAACTTAAGAGAGCTCCCACGCACAATACACAAAGAGACAGAGGACAGCTGGGAGCAGGGCCACAGCTGGAGAGGCAGGCAGGGGGGCTGTCTGTGCGCGGTCGGTGGTGCTGGCGTCCCTGGGATCCCTGCTGGGGCGGTGATGGACTGACGGCTCTTCAGTGTTCTTGGCACACATGTTTTTCAGCCTGTGCCTGCCACACCCTCCTCCCCATGCCCACTGCTGGGGGACACTGAGGGCAGCTGGATTCAGCCCCAAGACCTGCGGTTCTGGCTTCTTTCATTGAAGTGAGTGCCAAAATGCCATGCCTCAGTCTCCCCAGAGACCTGGGTTCCAGGGCCAGCGGTGCCCCTGGAGATCTTGGATGAATTATTTGCCTTTTGACGGCTCTTTCCCTGAGCGTTCAACTCACTACCCACCAAGTATTTTGCAAAATGACTCTTCAGGAGTAGATTCACTCAGCCCTTAGAGGGATGGAAGTTAACTCCCCATTTTGCTGATGAGGCTGCAAAAAGCCCCAACTCACAGCAGCTACTATTTGCAGTTCATTTCCCATAGTTTGCCCTTCGGTTTTCCTTCTTTTAGCTCGCTGAACCCTTGACACACAGCCCATTTTAACAGATGAGGAAACTGAGGCTTGGAAAGGTGAAATGACTTGCCCGGGGTCCTCTAGCCTGGACCGGCAGAGGCAGGACCCTGGCCTTGGGAGCAGAGGAGTGCCAGGCTCCCTCCAGCTTCCTGCCTGGCTGCGGGCTGTTGAATCAGCAGCAGTGGCCACAGTGGACTCTGAACTTTTTGGAAAACAGCGTGGTGAGATAAGACAGGGGCCAGGCCTTCCCTCTAGGCAAGGCTGAAGCCTGTGCCCCTGTGGCTTCCCGCCTTCCCCGTTCTGGTGGAGGCAGGGGTCATGGGCAGAGCCGGGTTCTGTGCCTGCTGGTGACCTTGAACCAGTTTGGTCTCCATCTGTTCAGTGGAGGTGGGGGGAGTGTTGCTGAGCAGGAGAGAAGTTCCTATTCCTTTGGCCTCGTTGGGGTGGGGAGACCCCAAGATCAGCTCCTTTTTTGGGTGGCTTGCCTGGAGCATGGGATTCTGCGCACAGTTGTATGCCTCTGGCCAACTTACTGAACCTCTCTGTGGCCATTTCCACGTCTATGAATGTGGGGTGAGACCCCTTGTCTTGGGCCTGTTGAGAAGTTTAAGAAAATAGCTGTAGAATGAATCAAACAGCTCTGTGAGCACCTACTGCATGCTAGGCACTGGAAGTCAGATCACAAACGCCCCTGCTTTCCTGGAGCAGGCAAAAATGACCCAAGTACTAATAATTTCAGGTGGAGGCACAGGAGAGGGACTGGGGGGCATAGGGTGGCCAGGGACCACCTCTCTGAGGAGGTGACGGCCAGGCTGAGACCAAAGGATGGGGAGCTGGCCTTGTGAAGACCTGGAGAGGACACTGTAGGCAGACAGCCAGGGCCAGGTCTCAGAGGCAGGAGCTGAATGAGCAAGGGGGACAGAGGTAGGGAAAGGGAACTTGGAAGCCATGGGAGGCTTTTTTTTTTTTTTTTTTTTTTTTTTGAGACGGTCTCACTATGTTGTCCTGGTTGGAGTGCAGTGGCACGATCGCTCCCAAGTTCAAAGCGTCCTTCCATGTCAGCCTCCCAGACAGCTAGGACTAGAGGTGTGTGCCACCATACCCAGGTGTTTTTTCTATTTTTTATAGCGATGGGGTCTTGCTGTGTTGTCCAGGCTGGTCTCTTAACTCAAGCAATCCTCCCACCTCAGCCTTCCAAAGTGCCAGCATTACAGGTGGGAGCCACCACGCCTTGCCTAAGGATTGAATTTTATGCTGAGAGAAGCAGGGAGCCATGGGAGGGTTTAGAGCAGAGGAGGAGTGTGATTGGACTTAATGTTCACAGGATCCCTCTGTGGGGAGTGGATTTCAGTGTGGCTTGGAGAAGAGCCTGGGAAATAGGCTTGGCTCTTACCTTGAGGAATGTGGACAGGGAGGGGAAAGGAGACTTCCGAGGAGGCTTCAGCAGCTGACCCAGTGAATGGTGATGGGGCTTAGAGTGGGGAGGTGGGGGTGGACAGATTAGGAAACTGATTTGGAAGAGGCTGGAGGGGGGATCAACTGGACTTGATGTGTGATCAGATGTAGGGGCGAGAGGGAAACCAAGGGCCGTTCGCTCAGGTCGGAAGCAATAGATGGGGATGTCTGGGGAAAAGCCAAGAAGAATGTGAATCGCTACTGTGCTCAGCAGGCGCTTTGTGCCTAGCCCCGTGCTCCGCAAAGTCCACGTAGTCACTGTCTCATTGTCACAACAGCTTTGACTTAGGTGCTGTTATGATCCCGTTTTACAGATGTAGAAATGGAGACCCAGAGAGGTTAATAGCCTGCCTGGAGTCCCCCAGCCCTGATGCTGCAGAGCTGACATTTGGATCCAGAGGAGCGCGAGCTGAGGCTGGAGCTGAGCAGAGGGCAGGGAGGTGAGCGGTGGCCTGAGAGGTAGGAGGGGAAGTGGGCAAGTGGGGTGGGAGGGTCTTATGAGAACTGGGGCCTGCATCCACATGGGAGTGGATGGGTGGTGCTGTGTGAATGCATGAATCCCTGCAGCTCAGAGAGGGACAGCTGTATCTGAGAGGCAGGGTGGGGGATTCAACACCTGGAGCCTTTGGGGGCCCTGGCCTTAGCCCCCTACTAGGTCAGGACAAGCTGATCTGGGTTTCTTTTTTTTAAGTTCCATGATACATGTGCAGAACGTGCAGATTTGTTACATAGGTATGCGTGTGCCATGGTGGTTTGCTGCACCTCTGACCCGTCCTCGAATTGTCCTCCCCTCGCCCCCGCGTTCCCCACAGGCCCTGGTATGTGTTCTTCTCTTCCCTGTGTCCACGTGTTCTCCTTATTCAACTCCCATTACGAGTAAGAACACGCAGCCGGGTGTGGTGGCGCGTGCCTGTAGTCCTAGCTACTCGGGAGGCTGAGGTGGGAGGATCGCTTGAGTCCAGGGATTCTGGGCTGTAGTGTGCTATGCTGATGGAGTGTCTGCACTAAGTTTGGCATCAATATGGTGACCTCCCGGGAGCGGAGGACCACCAGGTTGCCTATGGAGGGGTGAACCGGCCCAGGTCAGAAACGGAGCAGGTCAAAACTCCTATGCTGATCAGTAGCGGGATCACGCCTGTGAATAGCCACTGCACTCCAGCCTGGGCAACGTAGCAGACCCCCATCTCTAAAAAAACAAAAACAAAAAAACAAAACAAAAGAACATGCGGTGTTTTGTTTTCTGTTCTGTGTTATTTTGCTGAGGATGATGGCTCTTCCAGCTTCATCCATGTCCCTGCAAAGGACATGAATCTCATTCCTTTTTATGGCTGCTTAGTATTCCATGGTGTATCTGAACCACATTTTCTTTATTCAGTCTGTCACTGATGGGCACTTGGGTTGGTTGATCTCAGTTTCTAAGTAACAACTCATGTTGCCTCTTCTAGGAAGCCTTCCCTGACTGCCTAGGTGGGTGGCAGGAGGTGGCAAGGACACCCCCGTCACCCTAGGTCAAGTAGCCTGACAGGGCCTGACTGGTCAGCTGCTCCCAGGAGAGCCACCACCCTGACCTCATTCCACCAGACTCTGAGAAAGACACCACCCAGGCAGGGGAATGAACACAGAGTGCCTGCTGCATGCCAGGGAATCTCTATGCTTTGCCTCTTGAAGAATGTAGCTACCATCCTATGCAGGGTGAGGCTGTGAAATGGGAGATAAGGTGGGCTCTCAAAGTGGCCATGGAAAACCCCAGGGGAAGGTGGCCAGGCCAGGGACGCAGGTGTCACCTCCTGGTAAGTCCTTCCTGGACAGCGCTGCCCCATCGTATACTCCTTGGGGGAAGGTGGATGGAGTCACTGTGGCCGACCACATAGAGTTAGAGTCCTCTGTGCTGAACAGGCATGGGATGCCCCTGCCCCTCCTTCCTGTAAGTCAGCCGCACCCTGGCCCTGCATCTTTCCCCAGATTCTTTCTTTTTTTTTTTTGAGATGGAGTCTGGCTCTGTCCCCAGGCTGGAGTGCTATAGCACGATCTTGGCTCACTGAAACGTCTATCTCCTGGTTTCAAGCAGTTCTCCTGCCTCAGCCTCCCAAGTAGCTGGGATTACAGGTGCTCCCCACATGCCCGGCTTTTTTTTTTTTTTTTTTTTTTTTTTTTTTGAGATGGAGTCTTGCTGTGTCTCCCAGGCTGGAGTGCAGCGGCGTGATCTTGGCTCTCAGTTTCAAGTGAGGCTCCTGCCTCAGTCTCCCAGTTAGCTGGGATTATAGGCGTGCACCATCACTCTTGGCTACTTTTTTTTATTTTTGGTAGAGACGGGGTTTTGCCATGTTGGCCAGGCTGGTCTCAAACTCCTGACCTCAGGTGAGGAGGATCGGCCTGGGCCTCCCAAAGTGCTGGGATTACAGGCATGAGCCACTGCGCCCAGCCTGTCTTATTATTTTCCGTAGAAGGTGAGACTACCTGGCAGACGTCTTATCTGTTAACTGTCTGCTCCCCTTCACCTGCCGCTGGCATTTCAACACCACAAGGGCAGGGACCCTGTCCATCTTGTTATTGCTGAATCCCTAGGCCTGGAACAGTGCCTGGCACACAATAGGTGCTTAATAAACATTTCATCAAGAGGTCCCTGGTTCCTAGCTGGGTGCCCCCTCAGAAAAAAAAAATTTCATGAATGAAGTCAATCCCTACAACTCTCCGAAGTTGGTTCTGCTCATATCCCTATTTCATGGATGGACAAACCAAGGTTGAACCACAAAGTCGGGGCTGGGACCTGGCAGGGCCTGTGGAAGGCCAGCTGCTCTTGTTCCTGGGATGATGGAAATAGCAGTGCCTGCAGTGAGGCTTGGGTTTAGATTTCAGCCCTGCCCAACCTGCTTCGTGACGCTGGGGAAGCAGTTAACCTCTCTGTGCCTCTGTTTCCTCATCTGTTGAACTGGAGCCGGGCCCTGTGACCTAAGGTCTGTTGTGAGATCAAGTGAGTACATCCCTCTGAAATGTCTGGCATGCAGCAGGAACTCACATCATTATTTCAGGGATGCCGGAGTGCAGGAAGGTTATGAGGTTGTCTGGGAGGCCGGTGAGACCCAGGTTCGAGTCCTATCTCTGCTCTTTGCAGCTGTGAGCCCATGGGCTGGCCGCTTCCATCCTGTGAGCTCAGTTTCCTCATCTGTTAAACGAGGATGTAGAGTGGCTGCAAGGTCCCCTCGGGGCCCTGGGTGACCTAGCCTTATGCGTAACAGCCGTTCCGTGGGCGGCAGGTCCCGGGCTCCCCTCCAGGCCTCGCGATTGCCGCCATGAAGCTGAACGAGCGCAGCCTGGCTTTCTATGCCACCTGCGACGCCCCGGTGGACAACGCGGGCTTCCTGTACAAGAAGGGCGGGCGGCACGCGGCCTACCACCGGCGCTGGTTCGTGCTGCGCGGGAACATGCTCTTCTACTTCGAGGACGCGGCCAGCCGTGAGCCCGTGGGCGTCATCATCCTGGAGGGCTGCACCGTGGAGCTGGTGGAGGCCGCCGAGGAGTTCGCCTTTGCCGTGCGCTTCGCGGGGACTCGGGCACGCACGTACGTGCTGGCGGCTGAGAGCCAGGCCGCCATGGAGGGCTGGGTCAAGGCTCTGTCGCGGGCCAGCTTTGACTACCTGCGGCTGGTGGTGCGCGAGCTGGAGCAGCAGCTGGCGGCCGTGCGCGGCGCGAGTGGCCCGGCCCTGCCCCTGCCCCAGCCCCTGCCTCATCCCCTGTCCCCAACCCCAGCCCTGCCCTCTGCCCCGGCCCTGGCCCCGCCCCTGCCCCGCTGGCCCAGCGCCCTCCCGCCCAAGGAAAATGGCTGTGCTGTCTGGAGCACCGAGCCCCCTCCACCACCGCCTCGCCGCAGGACTTCTGCACCCCATGGGCCCCTGGACTTGGCGCCTTTCGCCCGGCTGCACGAGTGCTATGGCCAGGAGATCCGGGCCCTGCGTGGCCAGTGGCTCAGCAGCCGGGTCCAGCCCTGAGGCCACCAGGGCGCCTATTTTAGGGAGACGCTAGCCCCACGCCCTCTGGGACAGGCCGGGTCCTGGAGAGACTGGGGAGCGTGGTCCTCAGGGAAACTGTGGGCAAGGCTGGCCACCAGGCCCTGAGTGGCCTGGTTTGGGGGATGCAGGTTCTGAGAAGATGCTAGATTCTGAGTGGGCCTTTAGGACCATGTGACTTAGACACCTAGCCTTGAGGGGATGTCAGGCCCCATGCTAAGGAGAATCCAGGGCCTGAGGGGGAGTTTTCCTGAGAACTCTGGCCCCAGGCCAGCCCGAGCTGCCCGGCAGGGGCCTTTGCTGGCAACAGGTCTTGCTGGGCCTGCAGCTCAGAGGGTCACTGGGACCCTGACCAGGGCCTTGTGGTGGACAGAGAGAGGCTCCGTTGTGGCAGCCACATCTGGGTCTGGCCTTGCTCCAGGGCCTGCCAGAGGAACTAGCCTGGCTCTGTGCCCGCTGTCTCCAGGAGCAGGGCAGTGGCTCGGAAGGTGGTGACTGGGGACACAGGCCCAGGTGTTAGTGCAGGACCAGTAGGATGAGGTGGCCTGGTCCCCTGGGCTCCTGGCCGCAGCGGCTCTCTGACCACGGGCCCGGTCTGTGTCCCTGGGGTGGGGCCCTCACAGTGCTCTCTGGACACTCCTTGACTGCATCCTGCAGTCTTAGCCCCCGAGCCTGGGGCCCCTTGGGAGCTCGCCTGACCTCCCTCCCTGGGCTGGGCAGCCATGGCCTGAGGTGACTTTCTAGCAGGATCCCCCAGGGAGGGGAGGCCACCAGCTGACTCACCACCCAGGAAGGCCCAGGTGCTGACCTAGTGGCAGAGAAAAAAACACCACACACCAAGCGTGGCTTCCAGAGCCCCTCTTCAGCTCCAGGCAGTCCCCTCCCCCATGCCCCTCTTGAGCTCAGCCCCCACCCTCATACCCCCAGCGGGGACCGGGTCTTGCCTGGCTTCGAGGCTGTCCGCCGGTACCTTCTTCTCACCACAGTGCCCATTCTTCATTCGAGGAGAACCCTGGGGCTGGGACACCCCTGGCCCTCACCCTGGGTCATGTTTACAGTCCTCAGTGCCCCACACTGGGGACCCCCTGAGGATACCTCCACCCTGACCTTGATTTCCCCAAATGCTGCCTCTTAGGGACAGACTCAGCCTCTTCTCTCTTTGGAGACCCTGGGGCTTGGGGAAATTTGGAAGGGGGTGTGTCTGCAATCAAGGCCTCTCCAGCTCACGGCTGGCCCGTTGGGCTGGGACCTCAGTTTGAATTTTACTTTTAAATACTTAACGGTACATTTTTTTCCTCTGGCAACAAAGCTTGATGTTTTCACTGCTTTAGTTTCCTGTTTGCTCGTGGGAGGGGATGGGGTCTGTGACTCTGGACTTGGCCTGGGGGGTACAGTTGTCACTGCCCCTGTGGAGAGGGGCAGCTTGGGTTGGAGAAGCACAGCCAGAGATGAGAGCCCCTCGAGAGGGAGCCTTGGCTGCTTCATTGTCTTTCCCCTAGCAAGCCCTGCTCTCTTCTGCGGGTACCTCTGGGGTCTTGGTACGGTCCCTGCTCACCTCCTTCCAGAGTCCTGAATGGTGTGGGTGTGGGTGGCATAGGCTCTGGGGCTCGGGAGGGCTTCGGAGCTGCCCAGAGCCCTGTGTCCTGGCAGACTCAGCTGGTGGGGTGAGGCGTTAACCCCAGTCCTGGCATAGGTTTACAGATTCTCAAGGTACGCTGGCCTTGGTCTCCTGGGAGACATGGGTGGGGGATGTCCCCTACCAAAGCACAAGGTGGGGTCCGGCTGCCTCCCAGATGGGGTGTTGGGGGAGCGGTCCGGCTGCCTGGGAGGGAGATGCAAGGGCTACAATAAAATTTTGTCAATTAATGGCTGATCTGTGTCATTTTTTCCCCATCTAAATCCTTGATCGATTTTCCTGGCAGAGCCCAGAGCAGGCTGTGCACCGGCACTAGCGTGTGGTCCCTCATGGCTGGTGCCCTCCCAGGAACATTCTCACTTCTCAAGGCAGATGCTGGTCCCGTTATACAGATGTGGAAGCTGAAGCTCAGGAGGTTGTCAAACTTGCCAAAGCCAAATAGCTGTAGAGTGTCAGAGCAGGGATGTGAACCTCTGGAATCCCATGACAGGACAGAGTCTTCAGCAAAGTTCTTTTTCAGAAGGGAGAGAAAGTGGGGGAAAGCCAAGGATATGAAAGCTCCCTGTGGGCTGAAGACCTGAGAGTTGGGAGGGACACTGACTGTAATCCTGATCAGGATGGCAGGTGGAAGAGTCAAAACTGAGCGGTTCTCACTGCTAAGTTCATGGAGGCTGTGGAGGGGGCTGGAGTGAAGAGGATTCTGGCACCAACGCAAGTTCAGCAGGAAAGAGCCCGTGATTGATTAATATGTCTGCTGTGAGCACTGTGTGGGTGGTAGTGGTGCGCATGTGATGTATCTGCTCTCTGAATGAGTCTGTCTGGTGGGTTGATGTGGGGTTCACAGAAGGGGCTGGCCCAAGGTGGCCTAGCATTATGTATGAAGGTTAGGGAATCATGGCCCTTATGAGCATCCAGTGTGTGCTGAGTAATTCTTTCCATCTCTTGTGGGACCACAGCTGACAGATGGGGACCGGGGAAGTGGCTTCCCACACAAGCTGAGTCAGGGTGCTGCCTGTGGCATTTGTGACTGCAGCATGGGGCAAAGAGTGGGGGAAATAGCGGGAGAAAAACACAGCTCCAGGAGGGAGGGTCAACAGCAAAATGCTGGCCATCCAACTGCTGATGTCAGTGATTCCTCTGGACCGAGGGCACGAGTCTAAGGGGGCACGGTATGTGGTCAAAAGGAATGAGGCTTCTGAGGAGCCACTTGGAGTACAGGGTGAGGCCCTCAAGCGGGACACTTCAGCCAGAGGTTAGGCTGATTGCCAAACATCCATCCACCCTGAATACTTATGTAGTCAAATTCTGTTACGCTACTGCAGGCTCTCAGGGAATGGCTAAACTTTAGCTGCCAAAGAGTGGTTGTGTGACTTGATTTTGGCCAATGAGATGTGAGTGGTCTACCTTCTAAAACACAAACACAATAAAGAGCTCTTCACTGTTCTCTGTGAAGAGGGAGAAGGGGGAGTAATGTCTGTGATGCCTGGCACTGTGGCAGCCATCTTACCATCAAGAAGTTGACCACTCTGAAGAACATGCCCCATTCTGAGTTTGGCACACACTTGAGGGTGGTTCTGGATAGCCAATTGCAGGGCTTTTGTTGGCTCAGTGGGGTGCAGGTTGGGGCAAGGATGGGATTCCCTGAAATAGTAAAGGGGCCACTGCTTCTCATCCCTTCCTAAAGAGTGAACAAATATGGAAGGAAGATCATGTCCCCCTGTGGCCATGTATCTTGAATGTTCCTAAGGGGTTGCTTTGTCCCTACTATGTGCTATGTGGCTAGATCTGATGCCAACTATCCACTCCTCCTAACCCCTCCCCGGATGAGCTCACCTCACCTTACACAACTTTGTTATGAAAAAGTTCCTGCTGCTTGTTCCAGCTTCTAAAATTTCAGTATTCAACATGAAACTCTTCCAAGATGGTAAAATAATAAGTTGTAGGTTTTGTATTTTTCTGATGAAGACTTTTTAAAAGGTGGGCAAAATATTTGCGAGTCATTTGCAATCTGATACGCAGAATATAGAGAGAACTAAAACTTATAACAACAACAAAAAACAACTTGATTTAAAATTCGGCAAAAGGCCAGGTGGTCCATGCCTGTAATCCTAGCACTTTGGGAGGCCAAGGTGGGCAGATCACCTGAGGCCAGGAGTTCGAGACCAGTCAGGCCAACACGGTGAAATCCTGACTGCACTAAAAATACAAAAATTAGCCAGGTGTAGTGGCAGGTGCCTGGAGTCCCAGCTATTTGGGAGGCTGAGGCAGGAGAATCCCTGGAATGCGAGAGGTGGAGGTTGCAGTGAGCCAAGATGGCACCACAGCACTCCAGCCTGGGTGATGCAGCAAGACTCCATCCCCCCGCACCGGCAAAAAAAAGTCCGGGAGTGGTGGTCATGCTTGCAATCCCAGCACTTTAGGAGGCTGAGGCAGGCAGATCACTTGAGGTCAGGAGTTCGAGACCAGCCTGGCCAACATGGTGAAACCCTGTTTCTACTAAAAATACAAAATTAGCAGGGCATGGTGGCAGGTGCCTGTAATACCAGCTACTCAGGAGCCTGAGGCAAGAGAATCGCTTGAACCTAGGAGGTGGACGTTGCAATGAGCCAAGACTGTGCCACTGCACTCCAGCCTAGGGGTAGGGGTAGAGCGAGACTCAATCTCCAAAAAAAGGAGGGGGGGCAAAAGACTTGAGTAGACATTTCTCCAAAGAAGATACATAAATGGCCAATAAGCAATAAGTACATGAAAAGATGCTCACCATCAGTAATCAGTAGCAAAATACAAGTCAAATTGGGATGGCTACAGTCAACACAGAAAATATCAAGTGTTGGCCAGGATGTGTAGATATTGGAGCCCTTGTGCACTGTTGATGGGAATGTAAAATGATGCAGCCTCATCCAGCATGGCAGCTCATGCCTGTGATCCCAGCACTTTGGGAGGCTGAGGCGGGTGGATCGTCTGAGATCAAGAGTTCGAGACCAGCCTGGCCAACATAGTGAAACCCCATGTCTACTAAAAATACAAAAAATTAGCTGGGTGTGGTGGCAGGTGCCTGTAATCCCAGCTACTAGGGAAGCAGAAGCAGGAGAATCACTTGAACCCTGGGAGGTGGAGGTTGCAGTGAGCTGAGATTGTGCTATTGCACTCCAGCCTGGGTAACAAGAGTGAAACTTCATCTCAAAAAAAAAAAAAAAAAAAAAAAAAAAAGGCCAGGCATGGTGGCTCATGCCTATAATTCCAGGACTTTGGGAGGCTGAGGTGGGTAGATCAAGAGGTCAGGAGTTCAAGACCAGCCTGGCCAAGATGGTGTAACCCTGTCTCTACTAAAAATACAAAAATTAGCCAGGCAAGGTGGTGGCTAAAAGAGAAAAAAAATGGGCCGGGCGCGGTGGCTCAAGCCTGTAATCCCAGCACTTTGGGAGGCCGAGGCGGGTGGATCACGAGTTCGAGAGATCGAGACCATTCTGGTCAACATGGTGAAACCCCGTCTCTACTAAAAATACAAAAAACTAGCTGGGCGTGGTGGCACGTGCCTGTAATCCCAGCTACTTAGGAGGCTGAGGCAGGAGAATTGCCTGAGCCCAGGAGGCGGAGGTTGCGGTGAGCCGAGATCGCACCATTGCACTCCAGCCTGGGCAACAAGAGCGAAACTCCGTCTCAAAAAAAAAAAAAAAGAGAGAGAAAAAATGATATAGCCTCTGTGGAAAAAAGTGTAGTAGTTCCTCAAATAGTTAAAAATAGAATTACCATATGATGCAGCAGTTCACTGCTTGTATTTATCCAAAAGAATTGAAAGCAGAGGTTTTTGTCAGTTTGTTTGTTTTTAGAGATGGAGTCTTGCTCTGTCGCCTGGGCTGGAGGGCAGTGTCATGATCTCGGCTCCCTGAAACCTCCACCTCCCGGATTCAAGCAACTCTCCTGTTTCAGCCTCCAGAGTAGCTGGGATTATAGGCATGTGCCACCACACCCAGCTAATTTTTTGTATTTTTAATAGAGATGGGGTTTGATGGCCAGGCAGGTCTCAAACTCTTGACCTCAGGTGATCCACCTGCCTTGGCCTCCCAAAATGCTGGAATTACAGGCATGAGCCATCTCGCCCAGCTGTTTTTTTTTTTTTTTTTTTTCCCTTTAAAGACAGGGTCTTGGCCCGGCGCGGTGGCTCAAGCCTGTAATCCCAGCACTTTGGGAGGCCGAGGCGGGTGGATCACGAGGTCGAGAGATCGAGACCATCCTGATCAACATGGTGAAACCCCGTCTCTACTAAAAATACAAAAAATTAGCTGGGCATGGTGGCGCATGCCTGTAATCCCAGCTACTCGGGAGGCTGAGACAGGAGAATTGCCTGAACCCAGGAGGCGGAGGTTGCGGTGAGCCGAGATCGCGCCATTGCACTCCAGCCTGGGTAACAAGAGCGAAACTCCGTCTCAAAAAAAAAAAAAAAAAAAAAGACAGGGTCTTGCCCTGTTGCCCAGGCTGGAGTGCAGTGGTGACACCATTCAGGCTTACTGCAGCCTTGACCTCCATGGTTCAAGTGATCGTCTCACTTCAGCCTTCCAAGTAGCTGGAACCACAGGTACACACCAGCACACCTAACTTTTTAATTTTAGAGATGGGGGTCTTGCTCTGTTGCCCAGGCTGGTCTTGAACCCCTGGGCCAAGCAATCCTCCTGTCTTGGCCTTCCAAAGTGTTGAGATTACAGGCTTGAGCCAGCATATCCGGCAAAAGCAGGGTCTTGAAAAAACTTTTGCATACCCATGTTCATAGCAGCATTATTCTTGCATCTATCCCAAGCGCCCATCAGTGGATTAGTGGGTAAACAAACTGTGGTCTATCCAGGGAATGGAATATTTTTCAGCCTTAAGAGAAGGAAATTTTGACACATGCTACAACATAGATGAACCCTGAAGACATTAGGCTAAATGAAATAAGCCAGTCACAAAACAACAAATACTACATAATTCCACTTATAGGAGGTATTATTTTGGTGCAAAAGTAATTGCAGTTTTGCTATTACCTATTTTTTCAGATGGAGTCTTGCTCTGTTGCCCAGGCTGGAGTGTGATGGCGTGATCTTGGCTCACCGCAACTTCCGCCTCCCTGATTCAAGCAATTCTCCTGCCTCAGGCTTCCGAGTAGCTGGGATTACAGGCATGCACCACCACGCCTGGCTAATTTTGTACTTTTAGTAGAGATGGGGTTTCTCCATGTTGGTCAGGCTGGTCTCCA